AGAAGAGCAGAGAAGGGAAGGGAAGAGTGAATAAAGGAAGAGAAAAAAGGAAAAGAAGAAACAGAAAGGAAAAGAAAAAAGGAAAAGAAGAAACAGAAAGGAAGAGAAAAAAGGAAAAGAAACAGAAAGGAGAGGAGAGGAGAGGAGAGGAGAGGGGAAAGGGAAGAGGGGAGAGGAGAGGGGAGAGGGGAGAGGGGAGAGGGGAGAGGGGAGAGGGAAAGGAGAAGGGAAGGAGAAAGGGAAGGAAAAGGGAAAAAAGATGAAAGAAGAGAGTAGAGGAGAGAAGAGGAGGAGAGGGGAGGGGAGGGGTGGGGAGAGGGAAACGCGAAGGGGAGGAAAATGGGAAGGACAAGGGAAAGAAAAGGGGAAGGAGAGGAAAGGAGAAGGGAAGGGAAGAGAAGGGAAGGGAAGAGAAGGGACGAGAAGGGAAGGGACGAGAAGGGAAGAGAAGAGAAGAGAAGAGAAGAGAAGAGAAGAGAAGAGAAGAGAAGAGAAGAGAAGAGAAGAGAAGGAAAGAGAAGAGAAGAGAAGGAAAGAGAAGAGAAGGAAAGAGAAGAGAAGGAAAGAGAAGAGATGGAGAGGAGGGGAGGGGAGGGGAAGGAAAGGAAATGGCGGAGGAGGGGAGAGGGAAAGGAGAAGGGAAGGAAAAAGGGAAGGAAAAGGGAAAGAAGAGGAGAAGAGAGGAGAGAAGAGGAGGGGAGGGGAAGGGAAGGGAGGGGAGAGGGAAATACGCACGGGAGGAAAATGGGAAGGAGAAGGGAATGAAAAGGAGGAGGAGAGGAAAGGAGAAGAGGAGAGGAGAGGAGAGGAGAGGAAAGGAGGAGAGGAAAGGAGAAGAGGAGAGGAAAGGAGAAGAGGAGAGGAAAGGAGAAGAGGAGAGGAAAGGAGAGGAAAGGAGGAGAGGAGAGGAGAGGAAAGGGGAAGGAAAGGAGGAGAGAAGAGGAGAGGAGAGAAGAGGAGAGGAGAGAAGAGGAGAGGAGAGAAGAGAAGAGGAGAGGAGAGAAGAGGAGAGGAGAGAAGAGAGAAGAGAAGAGAAGAGAAGAGAAGAGAAGAGAAGAGAAGAGAAGAGAAGAGAAGAGAAGAGAGAAGAGCTTAATAATGTATTATTTATTTTAAAAAATTAAATGCCAGAATCCTGGCTAAGAATTGAAGAGTATTTTTTTTCCATGTCTTCATTTTAATAGCTGCTGTCTCTTCTCCATACTGGTTACAGAATCACAGAATCACCAAACATCAGGGTTTGGAAGGAACCTTGAAAGATCATCTAGTCCAATC